TCGCTCCTCGTCCCCCGCTCCTCCCCCTCATCCACCTCCTCATCCTATTCCTCCTCCTCCTCCTCCTCCTCCTCGTCCTCCTCCTCCTCCTTCTCCTCTGCTTCTCTGCCTCCCTGGCTTCCAGAGGTCTCCAGAGCTCCCAGGGGGTCCCTGGAAGTCTCTGCTGGTCCCCCGAGGCCTCAGAGGGCCCGCGGGAGCACCCAGAGGTCCAGAAGAGGCTCAGAGACTCTCAGAATCCGCCGCCTCCACGCCCCCTCCCAGCACGGGTGGCATCGGAACGTGCCCTGCGCCTTCGCGAGGGAGCCGACAACGACGTCGGAGGCGACGGCAGCGGCGGCGGCGACGGCAGCGGCGGCGACGGCGGCGGCCATGGTGACGGCAGCGGCGGCGACGACAACGGCGGCGGCGGCGGCGACGGCGACGACGACGACGACGCCAGTACCGGCGACGCGTTCCGGCGGCGGGCGCGCGCCGAGGCGCGCGCCCGCGGGTGCAGCTGCAGCAGGGAGCCCTGCCGGCGGCGCACCGCGCCCGCCGCCCCATCAAATGGGCGCGTCTCGACGACGACGACGACGACGACGACGATGACGACGCGCTGCGGATGCCCCATCAAAGGAGAAGACCTTCTCAGAAGGCTTGGTCTGCTGAGAAGCTGTCTAAGCCTTCCCCGAGGACACCAGAAACTTCTGAGAACGCACGCCAACGTGGATTACGGATCCGTGGCTCTGGCGCGTGGGTGCCAGGTCCGTCCACGGAGCCGAGAAGGTGCCCCCCGAAGCATGAAGCTGGTGCCGCCTCAGCTGGCGGCAGATCGCGCCGATTCGGCATGGAAACGGGACCCGTCGCTCATCCACGCGCCTGAATCCATGCTCGCGCGTCCTCGACAGGGGGAGGCAGAAGCACAGGCCAGCAGTGCGCCCCCCATGTGGGCGCGCGACGGGCCAAAACACGTTTGATACAACGATGTTGGGGTCTATGATAGCTACCGTTGTCCAGGCGGTGTGGTCAGAGAGTGCCCGCCACGGAACTTGTACCATACTGTGCGACGATTCAAGGCGCGCGCCGGGCCCGGTGCGGCCGACGGGCGCACAACTGGACGCTGGCGGTAAACCGTCAACCTAGTTACCGCCGGGACCCTCGTAGAGCGCCGCGCGTTCCGAAGAAAGCTCCAAGGGAGCCGAAAAGCTCTTCCAGAACAAGGCGAGAGCATCGTAATTTTCAAAGCGGCAGCCCAGCCGATTTGCGCTCCCTCATGCACGTAGTCTCTCAAACAAATCAGTTTCGACGCTGGCGATTGCCTGCAGCTCACGCAGGTCGCTGCCAACCTGCTCCAGAACAGAAAGTTAGTTCCTCACATGTTTCGTGGGGTTCTGGTTTTCTTCCCTGCCGCGTCGCACCCGCGACATTCACTCCTCACCTCCCCTCCTCCTCCTTCTTCTTCTCACACAGCGCAGAACAGCTCAGCACAGCACTGCTCAGCACAACATAGCACCTCACAGCACAGCACCACACTGCTCAGCGCAGCTCAGCTCAGCTCAGCACAGCACAGCACAGCACAGCTCATGTCAGCACAACATTGCACAGCACAGCCCAGCACCTCAGCACAGCACAGTTCAGCACTAGACAGTACAGCACCTCTGGACACCATAGGGGGTGCGCAGCAAGTGGTCTCTGAGTGCGGCCGCTATCAACGACACTGTCGCAAAGCCTAGCAGGCGTGGCACTTTCTGGACACCGTAAGGGGGTGCGCAGGGGGTGGTCTCTCAGCGCAGCCGCTATCCACGACACTGTCGCAAAGCCTAGCAGGCGTAGCACTTTCTGGACACCATGGGGGGTGCGCAGGGGGTGGTCTCTCAGCGCGGCCGCTATCCACGACACTGTCGTGGTCTCTCAGCGCGGCCGCTATCCACGACACTGTCGCAAAGCCTAGCAGGCGTGGCACTTTCTGGACACCATAGGGGGTGCGCAGGGGGTGGTCTCTCAGCGCGGCCACTATCCACGACAGTCGCAAAGCCTAGCAGGCGTGGCACTTTCTGGACACCATAGGGGGTGCGCAGGGGGTGGTCTCTCAGCGCGGGGCCGCTATCCACGACACTGCAGCCTAGCAGGTGACACTGGACTGCGCAGGGGGTGGTTTCTGAGCGCGGCCGCTATCCACGACACTGTCGCAAAGCCTAGCAGGCGTGGCACTGTCTGGACACCATAGGGGTGCGCAAGGGGTGGTCTCTCAGCGCGGCCGCTACCCACGACACTGTCGCAAAGCCTAGCAGGCGTGGCATTTTCTGGACACCATAGAGGGTGCGCAGGGGGTGGTTTCTGAGCGCGGCCGCTATCCACGACACTGTCGCAAAGCCTAGCAGGCGTGGCATCTTCTGGACACCACTGGGGGTGCGCAGGGGGTGGTCTCTGAGCGCGGCCGCTATCCACGACACTGTCGCAAAGCCTGGCAGGCGTGGCACTTTCTCGACGCCACGAGGGGTGCGCTGGGGGTGCGGTCGATATCCGTTTCGAGCTCGCAACGTGTGGCAGGCGTGACACTTTCTGGACGCCACACGGGGTGCGCTGGGGGTGCGGTCGCTATCCGCTTCGGCCTCGCAAAGCGTGGCAGGTGTGACACTTCCTCAACGCCACACGGGGTGCGCTGGGGGTACGGTCGCTATCCGTTTCGGGCTCGCAACGCGTGGCAGGCGCGGTGCTTTCTCGATACCACAGGGGGTGCGCTGGGGGTACGGTCGCTATCCGTTTCGGGCTCGCACAGCGTGGCAGGCGTGGCACTTTCTCGACGCCACAGGGGGTGCGCTGGGGGTGTGGTCGCTATCCGTTTCGGGCTCGCAAAGCATGGCAGGCGTGGCAACTTCTCGACGCCGAAAAGGAGTGCGCTGGGGGTGCGGTCGCTATCCGTTTCGGCCTCGCAAAGCGTGGCAGGCGTGGCAGTTTCTCGACGCCACAGGGGGTGCCTTGGGGGTGCGGTCGCTATCCGTTTCGGGCTCGCAAAGTGTGGCTGGCGCGGCGCTTCTCCTCTCCACCTCTCCTCTTGGCTGGCGTCACCAGCGGCATCGGCGAGGCAACGGCCACCAACATCATTCCCACATGCTTCACTTCAGCTATCACCATTCCAGCCATCATAGAAGTATGTGGGGTTCCTCGGTAGCGTAGTTTTTATTCCTAGAGTTCTACATTGATTTCGACGCTGCAATGATTCAGGGCGCGCGTCGGGCCCTGCGAGGCCGACGGGCGCACAGTGCACGTTTGTCTGGGCATTGCCCACACCGAGAGGAGGATGCAGGATGCTCTTCCGAGGCCGAGTGGGCTCAGAATTGAGGGGCAACGATAGGGGGAGATCGGCATACGGGGGGAAGCATCGACCTGGAATTGGCGATACATCGCCGATAGCTGGGCAATAGGCCCCCGATAGCGAATCCGCACCCTCTCGGGCAGGTTGGGGCGGTCGGGCCCCTATCGGCGTTCAATGGGCGACTTGGGGTCGATGCATTCCCCCCTATGCCTGTCCCCCCTTTCGTTGACCCTGAAGAATGCACTCTGCATCTCCGAGCCCGGCCGGCGTCTGCGTCGGCGTTCTGCGCCCAGGGTGCTGGCCCGTGGAGTGCAGCCCACCCGAATGCGGGGTCCGCGCGGCGGCCGAGCGGGAGCTCGGGAGCTCGGACGCCGGAGGGCGCCGGTCCGTCGCAGGGCGCGAGGGAGGGGGGGGGGAAGGGGGAGGGGGAGGGGAAGGGGGAGGAGGACGAGGAGGAGGAAGAGGAGGAGGAGGAGGAAGAGGAGAAAGAGGAGGAGGAGGAGGCCTTTCTGCCACTGGACCCCCGCGCCGCGCGCTGGGACCCAGGGGGGCCAGCCTCAGCGCGCCGCCGCAACGGTGGCTGCGCGCGTGGGCCGTGAAGAAGGCAAAGGCCTACAGGTTGAACCTCAAGATCTACAGGGTGAACCTCAAGATCTACAGACTGAACCTCAAGATCTACAGGCCGAGCTTCGCGAACCACCAGTGCTACGACATCATCCCACTTTCTGTGGAGACCTACTGGCAGACGGCATGCCGAGACTGGGAGCAGCTGCAGCTCTCAAGCGGATGGGGTAATGTGTGAGACACGGGCTCCAACCAAACCCAAAAGACCTCATGATCGTCACCACTGCCGCCTACAACAACAAGTACGACACCAAGTGCGCCGGCAAAGTCGATCCTGCGACGGCGGAGTGCGCCGAGGTGAAGCCCTACGCACTGGCACCCAGTGGCAAAGACAGGGGTCAGCAACTACAGCTTCAAAGCCCACTGCGCCAGAGGTGAAGTTCATCGTCATAGGGGTAACCGCCCGAGACCTGTACGACTCCCCGTACGGCATTGGCAACAACCGCGACCACGACCAGCACGACCAGTGCGGCCAGGAATGCTGCCACGACAAGGGCGCATACTACTACGAAGTTGGTTCGCCCTTACAGATGTTATACGGAAGCCACCCTGCTGAGATCCGAAGGCCACCAGCTGAGCTATGACGGCCACCAGCAGTGCTTCTGGAGCCCCCGGTTGGGCTTCGAGGGCCACCAGCAGAGCTGCAACGGCAATAAGGACCACGAGCAGAGCCACTGGGGTCACCAGCAGAGCTACGAGAGCCACCAGCTGAGCTTCGAGGGCCACTTGCAGGCAACTTGAGAGCGGAGCACTACGACCTGGCAGCCAACGACTCCGACTTGGACCGCAAGGAGGCGAAGGAGGCAGACGAGAAGGAGAACAAGAAGGCAGACGAGGAGGAGAAGTACGAGAAGCACGGCTTTAAGACAGAGGGCGACGCAGAACTCCGAAAGCGAGCTACGAGAGCCACCAGCCGAGCTGCCAAGGTCACCTGCTAATCTACGAGGGCCACGACCTCAGTTACGCGAGCCATGAGCAGAGCTACGAGAGCCTCCTGCAGAGCGAAGAGTGCGACGAGCCGAAATGCAAGGGCCACGAGTAGACTTATGTGAGCCACCAGCTCAGCTACGAGGGCCACCTGCTAAGCTATGAGGGCCACAACTTGAGCTACGCGGGTCACAAGCAGAACGACGAGAGCCTCCCCGAGAGCTACCAGGGCGACGAGCTGCGCTGCAAGGGCCAGGACAGAGAGGGCCACCTCATGAGCTACGGGGGCCACAAGCAGAACTACGAGAGTCTCCTGGGCAACAAGCTGCGCTGCAAGGGCCACGAGCAGAAGACCTTCGAGAGGCACCAGCTCAGCTACAACGGCCACCTGTTGAGCTACGACGGTCACAAGCCGAGCTACGCTGGCCACGAGCAGAAACACGAGAGCCTCCCGCAGAGCTACCTGGACAACGAGCTGCACTGCAAGGGCCACGAGCAGACCTTCGAGAGCCACCAGCTCAGCCTCGGGGACCACGGCTGCGAGAGCCACAACCTGACCTGCGCGGGCCACAAACAGAACTACGAGAGCCTCCCGCAGAGCTACTGGGGCGACGAGCTAAACTGCAAGGGCCACGCGCTCAGCTACGAGGACCACCTGCTGGGCT